ACTCCTCAACAAAATGGAGTGTCCGAGAGGAAGAATAGAACTGTTGTGGAAATGGCAAAGTCAATGTTGCATGAGAAGGGGCTTCCATACATGTTCTGGGCAGAGGCAGTCAATACTGCAGTGTATTTACTTAACAGGTGTCCATCCAAAGCATTGAGAAAGACTACACCATTTGAGGCATATAGTGGAAGAAAACCTGGAATAGCTCATTTGAAAATATTTGGATCTGTCTGTTATGTTCACATACCTTCTAATCTTAGACACAAGTTAGAAGAGAATAGTCACAAGTGTATCTTTGTTGGTTATGGTGCAAGTGAGAAAGGCTATAGATTGTTTGATCCAATTTCAAGGAAAATTGTCCTCTCAAGAGATGTCATATTTGATGAGGATGCCCCTTGGGACTGGAACTGCAATGAAGATACTGGAATAACATTTCCAGTCAGTAATGGTCATCAGATTGCTAATGAAGATTGTGTTAGTGGTGAGAACTCTCACTCTGAGGAATATACTGTTTCTCAAAGTGAGAATGTGGTTGATAGATCTCAAGCACATGATGATACACCTAAGAAATGGAGAAGTATAAATGAGATCATGGCTCAGTGCAACATGTGTGTTATTGAACCTGAAAATTATGATGATGCAGCTAAGGATGAGTCATGGAGGAGTGCAATGAGAGCTAAACTGGATATGATAGAAAAGAACAACACATGGCAACTTGTTGAGAGACCTTATGACAAGCCTGTTATTGGTGTTAAGTGGGTCTACAAGACCAAACTTAATCTGGATGGTACTGTGCAGAAGAACAAAGCTCGACTGGTGGCTAAAGGCTATTCACAAAAGCCTGGAATCGATTATAATGAAACATTTGCCCCTGTGGCAAGGTTGGACACAATCAGGACATTGATTGCTCTTGCTGCACAGAAAAATTGGAACTTATATCAGTTAGATGTGAAGTCTGCATTCCTCAATGGGATACTAAAGGAAGAAGTATATGTCGAGCAACCTCAAGGTTTTGTGAAGGAAAGTGAAGAAACAAAGGTGTACAAACTGAACAAGGCTCTCTATGGTTTGAAACAGGCACCAAGGGCCTGGTATGATGAGATTAATGCATATTTCAATAGTGCAGGGTTTGAGAAAAGTTCAAGTGAGGCAACTCTGTATGTTAAGACAAGAAATGACTCTGGTATCATTATTGTCTCTCTGTATGTAGATGACATTGTGTATACTGGCAGCAGTTCACAAATGCTTGAGGAGTTCAGAAATGATATGATGAAACACTATGAGATGACTGATTTGGGTCCATTGCATCATTTCCTTGGAATAGGTGTACTCCAAACTGAGAATAGTATTTTTATACACCAAAAGAAATATGCACAGAAGCTAATTGAAAAATTTGGTTTGAAAGATTGCAAACCAGTAGCCACTCCACTTGCCATGAATGAGAAATTGAGCAAAGTTGATGGGAGTGAGGCAGCAGATGAAGGGGAATATAGACAGCTTGTTGGAAGTCTGCTATATCTGACTGCAACTAGACCTGATGTGATGTTTGCAGCAAGTTTATTGTCACGATTCATGCACAATCCCACCAAGAAACATATGGGGACAGCCAAAAGGGTACTGAGATACATCCAGGGAACTGTTGATTTTGGAATCATTTTCGATAGAGGCAAAGCAACTACTCTAATTGGCTACTGTGACAGTGACTGGGCTGGAAGTGAGGATGATATGAGAAGCACCTCAGGGTATGCATTTACACTAGGATCTGGTATGTTTTCATGGGCTTCAATCAAACAAAACACTGTGGCATTGTCTACTGCAGAAGCAGAATATGTCAGTGCTGCAGAAGCTACATCACAAGCAAAGTGGTTGAGGTTTGTCCTAGAAGATTTTGGAGAAGAACAAGTGGAGGGAACTCAGATTATGTGTGATAATACATCAGCCATTGCTATGGCAAAGAATCCAGTTTTTCATCAGAAGACAAGACACATTAACAGGAAGTTTCATTTTATCCGAGAAGCAATTCAAGCAAAAGAGATTGAGCTGGTGTACTGCAGGACAGAGGAACAGATTGCAGATATCCTTACCAAGGCCTTGCCTAAAGATCGGTTTGTGTATCTAAGAGAGCTACTTGGAGTCAAATCAGCTAAAGGGTTAGAAGGGAGTGTTGGAATGTAACCCTTCAGCTGGAATTGATGGCTGAGATCATTTTGATAAATGTATTTTTGTTTCAGTTTGAATGTCAGCCATTGGATCATAGTCCACATGGTTTCTTAATGTTGTATTTAGTTTAAGTAATAGAATTAGACATGTGGCATTATCTCATAGGATAATACCAATGAATGGTTGAGATGAGGTTGTGTATTGGAGTGTGAAGGATCTCCCTTCCTTCCATGTGCAACGGTAACAAAGTGTTTTTGCATGTTCAGTGAAAAGATGAGAAGTGCATAATTCCTTTTATCTTCTTCGAAAGCTCTCTCTATTCTTTTCTTGCACAGAGTCTCCATTGAAGCTCATATTACCAAACACAAAATATTAACATGTTCATCAGTTAGTGAAGAGTTTCATTCAAACCCAATATATAGAATACAACATACTAGATAAAGACCCATTTGTGCCCAATCAATCAAACCACTCGGATACAATATCGGAGATTTCAAAGAGACATATCAATGACCGACTACTAATGAACAACATCACTAGTCCAAACTTGCGCTTAAACACCTACTAGCACATGTGTGAAGTTTTTATCACAAAATACATTAGTACAATAAGTAGTGACCATTTGTTATCATAATTTATTTTGTCAAGTTTCTAACATGAAATTCTTTATATTCTTCAACATCTTATCAGTCTTTCAAAGTCCCACATGATTATCAATGACCTTGTGATCTAGTGGCACTTAATCTCCGCTATATTATAAGAGACTTTGAATTTACATATTATGGATGGAAATTGTTGAACATAAAAAAAGTCCTCCAGAGCTGGTTTATGATAACCTTATAAGGTGCGGCATTTATGATTCCTATATAAACTAAATCAAACAGTGCTTAAGATCTCTCTCAAAGTTTTATATAGACATCCAAATTAATGACTTAGGAATAGAGGCAAGAAAACACAATGGAGGACACTGCTGGTGCAGAGTTTCCAGGCTTCCAAGCTTGTGCTCACAAAGATGACAACAATGTGTTCAGAAGGCATTTGAGCCGGCTGCAACAACCAGCTCCGTGTCCTCTTCAGCTGAACCCTAATAACGCCGCCTTTTCTAGTTGCGGTGGTACGCAAAACTCTGCGAGCAGTTCGCATTCTTCTTCGTTAAGTTCGTTCTTTCAGAGCAAAGATCCCATTCCACTACTTTCTCCTCTGGTGTTGTTGCCTTGATTGGTGCCAGAAAAACTTGCTGAATTTTAGAAGGTTTATGTGCCGAGGGATGCGAATAGCATGGCACATCGCTTAGCTCGGTAGAGGTTACATTTTCGGGGTTTTATCCTTCTCGGTTGAAACGGGTACACCATAATTTGCATGCATGACCTCTTTTCTCTTGGCTGATTTTTCTCATTGTGCTTTACTCGGTTAAGAATTTTTCAGAGGCCTTCTCTTTCACATGCCGATGATAATATGTTTTCCATTGATATTGATGAATGAAATCTTTTTTACCCTAAAAAAATTACTTCGGCAAAGTTTATGTTATCTCCTATATGTTATATATATGCGTCCATCCATGTGCTTTGTAGACTTGAGTACACTTTCTATCTAAGGTAATGTGGCAACGATTTCACCATCTATAAATCACCTCCTCCTCATTTTCTCTCGGCTTTTTTACCTTCCTCGTCTTGTTCATCTTCTCCGTCTTCATTTGTCCAGAAAACATGGCGTCTTTTATAATATTAGAGATTTAATACTCTCTATTTTTCGGAAATAAGCCTCTTCCTTTTTAGTGTTTGGAGGATTGTAAATTCAAACTCAAGCAAAGATAATATTGATTAAATGTTGAATTGTTACCATCCGTAATTAAGTTGTGATAGAAGAAAAATATTTGTAGCTTATCTAATTAAGAATAGTTTTCTTTGCGACTAATTAAAGTGTTGGTTTCAAATCACGCCTCCTCTAATATCGATTGAAAACAAAGAAAAATTAACTTGTGATTGAGCAATCAAATATGGTTCGTGAAAGCGCTGTTGATCTATGAATTTGCAATTGGAAATACAAAAATATAATAATATTCATTTGCAGATAGGCCTCTTTGAAAAGAAAAAAAAAATTGCAAATAGGCCCATCTCCAAAGTGTTGTAATTTATAGGCCCAATATTGTCGTAATAGGTTCTTTGAGAACTCAAATTTATTGGGCCATGTTGAGAGTATTATAAGCACTCTATGTATCATATTTTAATAGTCAAATATATATCAGTATCGAGTGCATATTTACTTTATCATTACTCTACTAAAAGAATTAATCAAGTTTCTTGAAAAAAAAAACAAAAAATAATTTTGTTTCATTATTTTCTTCAACCTATTAGTTTTTATTTAGAAAAAATTCATATAAATACTGCTCACTTGATTAAATGACGAACAATATGTTCAAAATTCTCACATGAAATGACATTATTAATTTAAAATACTGACATATTAACATTCTGTATCATATTAGTCAATCGCCACACAAACTGCAACTTGTAGATCTTCACACTTTTACAAATTCTAATATGATCTAAATTGGGTTGCAAATATGGTCTCGATTGGGTTACCTAATCTAAGGGTCGGATCTTCATTTTTAAAATTTTATTTATGAAATCTAAACCTTTAAATATCACAAAAGACAAACCACGAAACCGCGCATCCACGCCGCAGCAAAACAACAAACCCCCGGAAACTACCACCCGTGAGCAATAAATTGTGGTGGCGGTTCGTCTGTGACGCTCCATACCTCACGGTTGGTGTAACTTAACAAAACGTTTTAATTTATTTATTATCTGGTTTTTTTTTTTTTTTTTTTTAATTATTTCCGCCGTTTTCGACTTTTGGTGAATTGGTTTTCGCTCGTCCTTTTCGTGCCAAAACATTTTCGGTTTCAATTTTCAAAACCCTCTCCAAACATTTGACATCGCCAATCCTCCTTGATAATCTTCCTCTGGAAGCTCTCTCTCTTCACTTCGTTGCCTGCTGTCGTCGTCTTTGTCTACGAAGAGCTAGGGTTTCCCCCTTTTCTTTTCCTTGAAAGGTAAGGTAACTAAGGTTTGATCTTCTGCGTATTTCTGAAATTTTCATTTCTCTATTATTATTATTTCGATTCATCTGTTTTGGTTGCGTTTACTGGTGGATTGATCGATTTCTGCTGATGGGTTTTATTGGATTGGTATCCGAGTGTTTTTAATTCAAGTTAGGGTTCAATCGGTATGCAATTCTCTTCGTCTGTCGTTAAATTGTTGAAATTTGATTTCATTAGTTCACGTATTTGCTGGAATTTGATATTGCTGTTGTTTTTTTGATTGGGTTTTTCGAGAATTCATTGAGTTTGACTGAAAACGAATAACAAGTTTTTAGGTGTAGGATTTGTGTATTTCGAAACTACGAGTTTAGCATGTGTGGGGTTTAAAGATGAATTGTGTGTGTTTTATGACCTGATTCCGTTATAATTATGGGCACAAACACGAACATACACTAGAAGAAGTTTGTTTCATGAGAATTGGTAATGGCAAAGTGGTCATCGGAGGCTGGTTGTATATTGTTCGTCTTTAGCTAATTTTTGTTTTCCAACTAAATAAGGTGTAGGGTATGCCAATAATGATATCTAGATACTCTAAAGTAATATTGACATGCGAACACTCTGGTTATGCTTTTACAGTTCAAGTTCTGTTACAGACATGTATAAGCTGATATATATATATATATATATGTATGTATGTATGTATGTATATGTATGTATGTATTTTTCATTTGCTTGTCAATGTTTAGTTACTTTATTGTCTCTAGAGGCTGAGATATCTGTGATGACAACTCAACTTTCTGTTATTTTTTGTTCATGTATGCATTCATTTGATGCAGAAGTAGATGAGAAGGAGAGGGCCATCAAGAGAATTTTCTGAACTCAGAAGTTGTTCTGGGAAGAAAACTGTAGAAAGTTGCAGGAATAAAAGGGACGCTGATAAATTTGTGTTCATTGATCTTGAGTGTGAAGATGTCATTGACATCGATTATCTCGAGTCTTTACAGGCGAAGTCACGAGGTTCCAGTACATTGACAAAAGATAAAAAATTTAAGCCTAGTAGTTTCATAAATATAGATGATGATGACGATGGTGACAATGATGAAGATAATTATGCAAGTCCTGTAATCACCGTTGAGGATGATGGGGACCTCGATAGTGATGCGACCTCAAGCAAATGTTCTTTTCCTGCTTCTAGCAAGAATTCTGTAACCTCAGATGGAGGTGACTGTCAGGGTGTCCGGGAAAAGGGTTATACAGTAAAAGGGTCAAAGTGCAAGCAAACCCACTCTGGTGAAGCTCCTAGCAGGAATTGTTATGGTTTTGGTTTTGAGTCTGGGAGTTGTTCATCTGATAGTGATTATTCTGATTGCGAGCTAATAGAAGGTTCTTATGGGAAGCTTCACCAATATTGGGAAAAAGTTTCCCAGAAGAGAAAACATGTTGTTCATAATGGCCAGTCTGGTTCGGAAGGTCAAGTAAGTGGTTCTGGATCTCATAGTGATACCCATGCTAATGCTGAAGTAGAGAATAGGACAGCACATGGAGATGTCCCTGCTTGTTCAAGTTCTAAAAATGGAAATTATGAGAAGGAAAACCTTCCAGACTTTACAGGTACTTGTGATGGCCACACTGAGGACACTTCTTTGGATCCCCAAATGGATGGTTCTTTTGTTGAATCCAATCAGAACTTCACTACAGAAGATCCTCTTATTTATGAGTGGCAGAGTTTCCAAACTAATGGCATGGCTGGTTTATGGAATGAAGGAGAACAAAGTCCTGAAGAGCATCCCCTGTGGTCAGAACTAGGCGGTAGACATTCTAAACATCCAGGGACTTGTTTTATGGATAATGGGCAAAATTTCAGGGATGAAAGTAACAACGATCAAAGAAAAGCTACTGTTTCGAAAAAGGAAGAATATTTCTGCAAGAACCAACATTCTGGTGAAAGGCCTAGTAACCATGATAGAGTTGAACTAAGGTGTAAGGATGATGAGTTTCATGATGATCCATCTAGTTCTGTGGAAAAAGACAAAGCAGTTTCTGGTCAACCATTTGATGAAACACAGATGGAAAGTGGGTTTGCTCCTCCTGAAGACAAACTTGGAGCTGTTCATGAAAAAACTTTCTCCCAGGAAAAAGCGAGTGCAACCTTTGAGGAAGTTTCTTTGGCAAACACCTCATTTCATGAAACAAGTAGTAATCAGGGGGGATTTCATTCAGCAACAGAGAAAGAATTATGTGATCTGAGAGATCAGTTACCTGCTGAAGATGGCTACATGAGTCCTGTTCGAAGAGATATAGCCATTGGTGAAAGTGATATAATCACTGATCGAGAAAAGCACAAGGAGACTGCTGAATACAAGCGAGCAATAGAAGAAGAAATGGCATCCAGGCAGCGAGTCTTACAAATTCAGGTTCTGAACATACCTTCATTACCTTTTTTTTGTTTTACATTTTTAACAATCTAAATGTTATATCCATTATTTATTTGTTTATTGTGGTCTACGGGAGGTATATTGAGACTATAGGCTACACAACAAGAGTCATCATTATCCCTTCTTCACCACCTGGCTTTTGTGCTATTTTTCTTTTATTTTGTATTTTATGTAGATCATAGTATGATTTGTTACAGGGGTTTTTGAGAAGTTCTGGTAAAAAAATTATATATCTGCCATAATGCAGTATATTTCTACATGTTCATTAATCTCAGTTTGGTGCCCTGCCTTTTATTTGTTTATATCCTCTGAAATTCATATATCTTTATTTATAGTCCATACACTCTGAAACTTCAAGTCTTTGTGCGTTTCAGTAACTTGGTGTCAGTAGATATTGAACTTGAAAGGTGTTCTGTAGCTTATAGATGGCCACTTGACCTGAAATTAGGTATACTTTAATTTTTGCCAGGCAGAAGAAGCACAAAGATTACGCAAGAGGAGAAAGGCGGAAAACATGCGTTTATTGGATATGCAGAGAAGGCAAAAGCAACGTGTGGAAGAAGTAAGAGAGTCGCAAAAGAAGGTCCGGATTTCGAATATTGAATATTTATCACATTTTATTTTTTACTCCGCATGTTGCTTCTCTTCATCTTTCGACTGCCCTTTCAAGTTTAAAGGAAACTGTGTCTGGTTTTAAGATCAAGTACAATTGATTGTATATCACTGACTTGTTAATTGTGTCATATACAGGATGAAGAAAATATAAATTTGAAAGACCAACTTCGTGCTGAAGTAAGGAAGGAGCTTAAAAGATTGGAATTGACATGCATAGATATGGCTTCTTTGCTTCGTGGCTTAGGAATACAAGTGGGCGCTGGTTTCCGTCCTTTGCCCAATGAGGTAAGTTAAAATAAGTTACTGAAGATGGTTTAGGATCTTTTGTGGTATATGGTTTGATGGGTTTCTAATTTGATGCAACAATAACTAATGGAAATGGAAATGGAAATGGAAATTTCAGGTGCACGCAGCGTATAAACGGGCATTGCTGAAATTTCACCCAGACCGGGCATCAAGAAGTGACATACGCCAGCAAGTTGAAGCCGAGGAAAAGTTTAAGCTTGTATCTCGCATGAAGGAAAAACTTCTACCGACTTCATGTTATTGAATACACAGATAAAAAATTTCATCAAAATTGATCAATTTTCCAATGGCAACAGATGAAGGTTTTTCTTTTGTTTGTTGATGCCTCCACAAAGCTTTCGATTCCTCATTTTGTATCCGTCGTCATTTTTTTCAACTGGATTTTAGTTGGTAACGAAGTTTTATGTTGTAAACCAGTTGTTTTTTAGTAGAAGGTGGTCAGAGAAATTATTGTTTCGAATGTGCAAATGATAACTTGCTTGTTCTTCTTGCTCTTGTAATGCCATTTGGTCCTGAGTTTTTTCCTTGCCAGAGATTGAAGTACCTCTCCTTTCTTTGCCCAACCTACGTGAATGGTGAGAAGACGGTTGATTTTCGCCTTTTTAATCAAATCGAAATAACAGATATGATTAGACATGAATATGTTGAAAGAAAAAAATAGCGTGTTTATCATTTTCCTACCGATAACTTTTTGAAGGGGCCAACGCCCCGCGGTTATGCGTATAAGCGATCTCTTTCCCATAGAAGTCCACCTGGACCTTTTCTTTCCTAGGAATTCTTGGGAAATTGGCAAAACACGATATCATCAAACATCAAGTGTTACAATGATCAGTTTTGCGATATCTTGTTGATATTTGATTGTTATAATTGATGATATTTAGTTGGCGTGTTCGATTTTTATTTTAAACCGTTCAATAATTGAAATTTGATTTCTAATCATTTTAGTCAATTATCATCTTCTCGATCCATACCACTTAACAGATTGCTGACAACACATCTCCCTATCACCATGCTCATCTTTCTTCCATCAAAGAGTGCTACACGAGAAGCAACATGTGATGTGATATTGTGATTGTGAGATATGAGCAGAATTTTGAAAGGACACGGCTTTCTTTTGTTATTATTGGTGAAACAATGCGGGCTTTCTCAGGTCCCGTTTGGTATCCTTCTTAGATTCAATTTTTTATTTTTTAAAATCAATTACTAAGCAATTTTTAGGCAGGTAAGTTACATTTATTATTCATGTACAAATCTTTTTCCTCCTTTTTTTAAAGAAATATCAGCGGTATGAGGAGATTTTTATTAAAGCAAGAAAAGGAAAGTTATACTTAGTCCTGACCCGGGGACTTAAGTGGGAAATTTAGAAAAATAACCAAATTTTGGACCTTCTATTAAATTATGATCACATTTTTAAGTTTATAATAATTATGACCAATGGTTAATATGAAGTACTAATATACTCTTAAAATGAGGTTTTCTAAATAAACAAAAAACCAAAAACAAAATTAAAAGTCACCCGTGAAAATTAAACAAAAGAAAATTCAATATGTTTAGATGAAGTAAATTGACAGAATTTAAATTCACTTCAATTAAAATTCCATCAATTGCAAATTCCATTGTTTGGAGATATGTATGTGAGATTATGGATAATATATGATCCAAAAGTAGGTGAAACGAAATAGAAATATGCAGAGCAAGTGGCCCTTAACCACAGTTGTGGAAATATGTTGAGTCTTTACATGAGACGTGGGTTCAAACCCCCGTCAATAGCTATTTTAACAACTAATCTAACAAAATCTATCGTTTGACCAAAAAAAAAAAAAAAATGCAGACAACTGATTAATTAAGTTGGACTTTTCATCATCAAGAAAAAAAAAAGAACCCACTCATCGCAAAGGAGAAGAATAATTGCAGAAAACCCAACAACCCTAACCCAGCTGCTCTTCTCTCTATTTCTCAGCCATGATTCTCCCCATCCATAGTACCCACAACCCCCACCCTGCAGCCCTGAATCTAAAAGCTAGAGGAGCTAAGATGTTGTAGAACATTGCCCCTAGGACCTCTCTAGTCATCAATTTGATTCTCAACTGTTACCATAATTTATTTCAGGTATATTAGTACTTTTCATATCAATTTTTTGTTATAATTATCAATAATTTAAAATGGCAATTATAATTCTATTTAGCTCCAAAATTTGGTTATTTTTCTAATTTCCCGATATAAACCTTACCGCTCTTAATACAGAAAATAAGATAGTCTTGAGTATTGAAACTGGGCTTCAAATTATTTTCAGATTGGAATACATAACAATTACGACTAGTCTTAAGTATTGATACTGAGCTTGAAATTAAGCATATTGAATTTTGGAATTTCACATGTTTATTCTTCCGTCTTTGCGCAATCTAAATTCTAAAACACACAATGTTACAAGATCAAAGTGAGTGTAGTATAACTTGAACTCCATGCTGTGGGCTAACGGTTAGGCTGTTTATGGGTGAGTGCACATAGCCCGGGGAAAGAGTGAAGGAGTAGCGTTGTAGAATCACAGACAGAGCAATCTTTGCTTCGATGATTGCGAAGTTCATGCCCACACAAGTTCGAGGTCCCATTCCAAAGGGTATGAATGCGACCATGTTATTGTTAGTAGCCTTAGCGACACCTTCTGAGAATCTCTCTGGTTTGAAAAGTTGCGCGTCTTGTCCCCAGAATTCAGGCTCATGGTGAAATGCTAGATTTGGCACCCGCAATTGAACATTAGCGGGAACATTGAGCTCTCCCAGTCTAACTTCCTTTTCCGTTTCCCGTACGAGGTGAATGACAGGAGGATATAACCTTAAAGACTCATTGACGATCATACTCATCTGCAATCATCAAAATGAAGATAACAATCAAGGAAAACTAAAGAAAAAAACTTGAAAACTTTGAATTTCACCGATAAGGACAAAATAAAGGGTAAAGTGAATTGTACCAGGTTTGACTTTTTAGTGTAAAAATGTGGTTTTTTGTTAAAATAAATAGTACCGCAGACTTTTCGTTAAAATTCCTTAAAAATTAATCGAGAACAGTATTTCTGCTCTACTTTTTTGATAAGTTAGCAATTAACTGTTTGACTTTCTTACTGTTTTAAGCTTGGCTTGTTGCCAAACAATTGTAAGACTTCCTTCCTTGCTTCCTCCTGCCAATCTGTATGAAGTGCCAGAAGAAACACAGTCCAAGAAAGCATACCGGTTGCGGTTTCTTGTCCAGCAAAGTAAAAAGTCTTGCACTCGTCAACCAATTCATCCATCGAGATCCTCTCGTTTCCGATGGCATTGTGGTGGGCTTTTAAAAGTAGTCCAAGATAATCACTCCCAAAGCCGTCTCCTTCTCCGGTCATTGCTTTCTTTTCTCTTTTGCTAGCCATCCCTGCTATGGAGTCGCGTATTCCTTTCTCAAGCTTATCCGATTTGATCTCATCGCTGGATTTATAAAACTTACTGCAAGTTTGAATGATAGACTAGTCATGAGAAGTGACACATTCATTCCATAATCCTCCATGATTACTGTTAGATGAAGCTAGAGTTCACCCACTCTTTGAGATGTTTTAGTTAGAGGAAGCTACCTGATGCCAGGAAGCCGGAATGTGTAAGTATTTTTGAATAATAAGGTCAACTCCGTCAACATTTCAAAAATGTTCTTCCCTTCCAAGTAGCTGCTGCCAAATGCTGTCCTAGAAATCACTTCTGAGGTTAACAACTTAAATTCTTTATTCACCTCAATCTCCTCGCCTTCATGATTTTTCCACCTTTCTAGCATTACCTCAGTGCTGGTTATCATTTCAGGAATCATACTCTACAGTAACACAACATCAGTATGCAAATAGCAAATTTACATTTAATTAAACTAATTTTTCTTATGAACAATCAACACAACTCCGCTACTATATTAGCATACATTGCAGGAATTATATATAATTAGCTGTAAGAACATAATCATTACTTTTAAGCTTTCTCCATTGAAGGCATGGGTGGCAAGCTTTCTTAATTTTACCCATTTTTCACCTTCTGCCATCAAAACGCCGTCTCCTAACAGTTTTTTCACAAAGTACGGGGGTTTTGGTTTTCGACAAATTCTATCCTTGTTGCTTAGTATTGCTTTGCACGACTCGGGTTCCCCGATGGTCAAGTGAGGTTGAGGACCATACCACTGAAGAAAACTCTTCCCTGTTGCAACAAAATGTTACCAAACTTTTGAACTAATAATTAAGATACTCATATAAATCACCATAGTTTTTTATTTTCCTTACCACAGATGTTAGTCCACAAATGATCATGAGGAAGAACATAAGAAGATATGTCATGAGATGAAGTACTCATGGGCCTGCTCATAGTTTCCTTCGTCATGCTGATAATCTCTTTGCCGTTTCCGTAGATGAGTTTGTACGAAGGACCTTTGATTCCCTGCGAAGCCATCCGCTTCTGTATGCGAGTTGGAGTCCACCATAGTTTGTCAAAGTACTTTACGAGAGCCAAGAGAATTAGAAAGAGCAGAGACAGAAAGCTTGAAACAATGGTTACTCCCACCATACTTTGCCAATTGAGATCAACTCTTCTACTAAATAACTCAACTGGATAGCACACATCTCTTTATGTAGTCAATTTACAACACCTCCAGTCGTTTCTGAATGCCATTGACAAGAGGCTAGGTTATAACTTATAATGCACGAAGCATAACTTATAATGCACGCAGCTCGCATGTTTTGAATAAGGTGTCAACGTATCATATCATTTTTTTCAAGGTTTCAATGTAGCATATCTTTCAAGTCCCAACGATTAATAAAAGGCCTAATTGGATTATTAGTCCTGGTAGTGATAGGGTAGTTGGAAGATAGCCCATACGATAAAAAAAAAAAAAAAAAAATTGAAGCCCTTGCGGTGAAGTCTGTTAGAATTTACGCCCAAAATTGAAAATTTCGTTAACTCTCCATTAATTATTAGCACGTGAGCCACACATATTAGGCTAAAACAGAACTCTCCGTTAATTGTTATCACATGGGGCTACATGTGAGGCTAACTTTATCTTTTTAGTCTCACATGTATTTATATGTGAACAATTAACGGAGAGTTGACAAATTTTTTTACCATAAGGGTTATCTTCCAACTACCCTATCACCACATGGATGAATGATCCAATTAAGTCTAAGTAAAATAAAGGGATTTTACCACTAAAGGTCCCTAAATTTGACCCACCCCATCAAGATGATATCTGAAATTGAAAATCGATCAATATAGTCCTTAAAAATGGGTATCGCAAATCAATGTGATCCTTCCATAACAATTATGTCAAAATTTCCATTACGTGCTGACGTGGCACATAACTGGTTACACAAGTCTAATTATATATTTTAACGAAAAGCTTCGTCGCGAGAAGAATAAAGGTACAAATTTCGTCGCAATATACAGATTGGGATGAGAAGTCAGTGTTTGAAAATAAAGCTCCATAACGGGCCACATCATACTGTCTGTAATGCCTCTTGAATATATCATCCACAA